AAGCAGAGTGAAATATTTTTTCAGTGTGACAGAAAACAAATAGGAGAAACATCAATGTCACATCATCCTGATTGCCTGTTCTGTATTGTGCAGACAGGACTTTATCTGCTGAAAACCTTTCTAGTTCTGCAGAGTAGTTATCTTTAATGAACACTTTTTTGAGCATACTAAATAAAGACCTTGGCATATGGCATATAACTCAGAATGACTCATTCTGCCTAGTTTGCAAGTAATCAAACATGTCTACCCCTCCTCCCCACCAAGTTATGAGATTAGTAGGTAGGATTTTAACGGACAACAGTTCTGCAGAATCTTTTTAAAAATCTTATTGAACTAGCAATAGCAATAATCTCATTACATGGATGAGGCATGAGTTAAAGTTACAATCTGCATATTAAAATGTCATGGGGCAATGATATAACAGAAAATGGTAGAAAGAATGAACTGTGATGCTTTAAGAAAAAACAGGGAGAACTATCAATTTAAAATATCAAGGGATAAAAAAATTATATCGTGTATATTGTTTTAGTGATTTTAGTGTTGTTTAGGTTAAAATTAAAACCATTACAGTAAAGCTCTCATGACTTATCTTCCTGTTTAAGGAAAGGGTAGAAAGATAAAATGGCGAAAGTGTAAAAATTTGCTTAAAACAGGAGATTTTTTTCTAGTTTGAAACATTAAAGACTAACTGGCACTAAATATTACCAGAAACTGAATAATTAATTTGAAGCAGAGTCCAGAGTTACTTTTGCAGCTTAGGGGTCAAGATAAGTAGAAATATAAATTTAAAAAGTGAAATGAATACATCATATAATGTGTGTTTTTATTATAAGTTTTAAAGAAAATAAAGCAGTAAGAATGTTATATCAAATTAAAATCAATATTTCATTATTTAAAAGAAGACTACTTTTTAGAGCACTTCTAGGTGCAGAGCAAAATTGAATGGAAAGTACAGAGAGTTCCCATATGCTTCCTGACACAACATATGCACAGCCTCCTCCATTATCACCACCCTATACCAGAGTGGTACGCTTGTTATAATGGATGAACCTACACTGGCAAATTATTCTCCCCCAAAGTCCATAGTAAACATTAGGATTCAGTCTTGGTGTTCTATGGATGGATTTTGATAAATGTATATGATGTATTCAGTGTTACTGTACCACATAGAATAGTTTCACTGCTTTCAAAATCCTCCGTGCTTCCCTATCTATCTCTGTCTCCCTCCAACCCCTGGCAACCACTGATCTTTTAGGTGTTTCCATATTTATGCCATTTATGGAATGTCATATAATTGAAATCATATCGTGTGTTGGCTTTTCAAACTGGCTTAGTAATTTCACTTATTTTTTTTAATGTTTATTCATTTATGTAGAGAGAGAGATAGAGAGTGAGCAGGGGAGGAGCAGAAAGAGAGGGAGACAGAATCCCAAGCAGGCTCCGCAGCTGTCAGCGCAGAGCCCGACATGGGTCTCCAACCCACAAACCGTGAGATCATGACCTGAGCTGAAACCAAGAGTTGGGTGCTTAACCGACTGAGCCCCCCAGGCACCTCAGTAATTTCACTTATTAATATGCATTTAAGTTTCCTCCATTTCTTTTCATGGTTTGATAGCTCATTTCTTTTTAGTGCTAAATAATATGCCAGTGTCTGGATGTACCATGGTTTCTTTATCCTTTCATAACCTGAAGGACATCTCAGTTTCTTCCAAAGTTTGGCAATTATGAATAAAGCTGCTACAAGCATCCCTGTGCAGATTTTTGTGTGTACATAAATTTTCAACTCCTTTAGGTAAATACTAAGGAGCATAATTACTGAAACATATGGTAAGAATGTGTTTAGTTTTGTAAGAAACCACCAAACTGCTTTCCAAAGTGGCTGTACCATTTTGTACTCCGACCAGTAATGAATGAGAGCTCCTGTTGCCCACATCCCCGCCAGCATGTGCTGTTACTGTTTTGGATTTTCTTCATTTTAATAAATGTGTACTAGTGCCTCATTGTTGTTTTAATTTACAATTTCCTAATGACATCTGGTGTTGAGTATCTTTGCATATACTTATTTGACATTTGCATGTTTTTTTGATGACGTGTCTGTTAAGATCTTTACCCATTTTTTAATCAGGTCATGTGTCTCGTGTGGAATTTTAAGAGTTCTTTGTATATTTTTGATAATAGCCATTTATCACATGTGTTTTGCAAATTTTTTCTCCCACTCTATTGCTTGTCTTTTTATTCTGTTGACAGTTTCATGGAGCAGAAGGTTGTTACTGTCATGAAGACCAGCTTATCACGTATTTCTTTCATGGACTTTGCCTTTGGTTTTGTTTTTAAAAAATAATTGTTACACCAAAAGTCATCTAGAATTTTCTCCTATGTTATGTTCTAAGAGTCTTATATGTTGTTTTTTTTTTTAATTTTACACTTAAGTGTATGGTCTATTTTGATTGATTTTTGTGAATAGTATAAAGTCCGTGTTTAGACTCAATTTTTTACATGTGGATGTCCACCTGTTCCATCACCACTTGGTGAAGAGACCATCTTTGTATCGCTATATTGTCTTCACTACTTTGTCAAAGATCAATTGATTATATTTATGTGCATCTATTCCTGGGTCCTTTATTCTGTTCCATTGATCTATTTGTCTGTTGTTTCATTAATACCACATTATTATGATTACTGTAACTTTATAGTAAGTTTTGAATTCAGGCAGTGTCAGTCTTTCAACTTTGTTCTTTGCTTTCAGTATTGTTTGGCTATTCTGGTTCTTTGGCCTCACTATATAAACTTTAGTACTTAGTAAATATAGAATATATTTTATTCAATAATTGAATATATAATTTTGTGAGCTTCTTTTTCACTTTATAGTTAATTCTCCTACTAATAAAAAATTCTTCATTAGAGCAAGTTTCACCGCTGCATAAAAAGTATACCAGCATAGGTTAATCCATGCTCATATTGTCAATGAATTGTCTTTCATATTTTTTAGTATTCAAAATATTCCTGAGATGAAAATTATGGTTCATAATCATTTTTCCTATTTTGTTAGTTCTTCAGATATTTTCCCCAAGTATAATTACCAAGTCAAAATGCTTGAAATAATTTTTAAAGCTCTTCATATGTATTGTAAAATTGCATCCTAGAAATAATTATAACTCCCAGTAACAATGTGCGTGTGACAGATATAATAGTGTCTGCCTTGTCATGTTCTCAATAGCGTGTTAGACTTTGCTGTATAAATCTCATATTGTGTGTAGTAATAGAAGTTTCCTTCACTCACAAGGCTGAGGGTCTAGAAATGCTAATGAAGAAAATATTTCCCCAAATTTTCAAGGCAGAAAAAATGCAAATAGTCTTATACTTCACATTTTAGCAAACACTTATTTTATTCCATTTACCAATTTAGGATTTGGTCAAGTGTTTTATTTTAATAAGAAAAACAGAATAAAAGATATTATCTTATACAAAGCATGGCACAACTTAATACAAAATAAAATGCCCCTTAATATTTGTTGAAAATTTTTACTATGTTAGGCATTTCTAATTCATTTTCTAATTTAAAACTCCATTCCTTTAAAATGAGGGAGTAAGGGGTGGAGGGCCATGTATTTCTGTGATTCTCTTGTTCTCTCTTGCTTTTTTTACTCTCTTGTCACCGGAAAGAATGGAATGGCTTCTTTGGTAAAGTCGGTCATGCCTGGTTGGACAGTTCTTTCTCGGGAATGAGGTCTAACTAGCATATGGTATATGATTCACTGTGTTCATTGCCGTACAATTTATAAGATCAGGCATGTGTGATAATCTCATCTTGTGGTTTCATGTGAAGAGGTCCATTCACTTGCTTATAGACATAAATCACAATTGTGAAGATAAGGTTTACCTATAATAAGAGAGATATTTTGGTTTCCTTATGCTACCTTCTTCTATCTCTACTGATTATGAGTTCATCTAGGAAACAAACTGTGTTATTTATTAGGCCCTTCTCACTCCACCAAAAGTAGGTTCTAATTTTAGCCTTGTTTTATAGTTTTAAAATATCTAGTTCATTATAGTTCAACATGTGAGAGACCAGGCAATTGATGAAACCAAAGTTTATAGTCAGGTTCTTCCTAATTGAAAAGACTATGCCTGTAAGCAGTTCACTGTACTATCTCTTTTAAAAGAATATAATTTAATGATCAAGTTAGACACACAGACCAGACACGTAAATGGAATGAACAATGACTGTCTTAGTGCCTTGGAGTCATGGATGTTTCCAGGATTGGGGAAATAAAAATCTTGTTTAGCTTAGAACATTGGAGTATAATGTAAAATTCTGTGCATTCATTAAAGTCCCCTTTTGCATATTTAAAGAGAAATGAAGAATTTTCATTGTTAATTTTACAGCAGCTTCTATGATACAAGTCAGATAAGTTATATCTACAACAGTGTGAAAGCACTCAGATGTTTGCTTGCTTTCTTTTGATCAAAGAGGAGTTTTCTTTTAGAATAGAAAGAAAGTTTATCTTGAGAATAGTAAATTGTTCAGAGTATTGGGAAATGACTTTCTTTTAATGCGTAGCCTAAACGTGCTTATTTTATATAGGAATATTTACTGTAATGTATTATACCAAATAGCTCTATCATACTTATTCATCTATTTAATTATGCACATAAATATAGAAGAAAGGATCTCCCTGGTCCCTTCCAGCTCAAAAGTTCTATAAGTCTTTGATGGTCTTGGATTTTGGCTGAATATAATTTTATTTCCTCTTTTATTTCTTTATTTCTACTTTTACCTAGACTTACTTCATTAATCTACCACAGCAGGCATGCTTTGGACGAGATATATATATGTATTTTTATGTAAGGCTCAATATTTTTACATATATTACCTTATTCAATAAAACGTTGACATTAGTTCATACAATCTATTTCATCATTTCAGATTTTCATTTTAGTTAGTATTCTTCCTACTCCTAATTCCTTAATCCTCTCTTAGCTCCCTAATTACGAAGTTAGATAGTTTATAAGCAGGCCTGAGTTTCCAAATCAATGTTTGTCATATTTTAATTTTAATGTAAACATTATCTTCGACATGTTTCTGACAAGTTCTGTTATACAAATATGATATGTGGCTGGACAACCATGTGTTATTAGACCCAACTTTATACCTTCTGCTGAAGAATTTTCTTTAGAAAGCATTTGTATCCCAAGGCCATCCCATAATGTGGAAAAAAATGTAAAATCATCTTCACAGCTTAGGACAACTTCATGAAGGAGCCTGGTGTCATGAAAAACATGTGGGTTTTATAGTTAGGGACATCTAGGTTATGAGATGTGTGATCTTGGAAAAATTGCTTAACTTTGTTAATCTACAGCTGTACCACTCATAGAGTAGAGATGACTATACCTACTTTGCAAAACCATTGAAAGGATTTTTAGACACTCTATGCCAGATGTTTGGCATTTAGTTATTGCTCAACAAATTAAAATACTACTTATTCTCTAAAGTCCTCGAGATGTCATATACTCAGTACCTGTCGGCAGGCATATGTCTGAGGCAAGAGGAGGTAGCCAAGAAGCTTTTGTAATACCTCAGCTCTCTTTCTTCATTAATCTAAAGTCTTTTGCTGGTGTATGATTTCGCTTATCTCTGGGGTGCTGCAGTTTTTCTCTGTAAGGAATGATGTTTAACATCAGTTAGATAAATGCCTTACGGTACCTTAAGCTAATCCATTCCTTCTCTTTTGTGCTTTCTCTTTACTAACAATATTAGACAGTTTTCCACTTGACAACAATTTATGCATCTCAGTGTTTCAGATTTCCTGCTGCTCCTGAAGAACATGTACATAATTTACTCCCATAGTAGCAAATACACGTGGACAGAAGGCGTATTCTTGCCAATGGAGATGGGCTAAAACTAAAGAAAGAAACTTTTTTCTTCTTTCTCTAAACACATTGAAGTGCTACAATTGTATGATCTCCACCAAGGAATTACAGAGGAAATAAACATTACTCCTATGAGGTAGTTGAAATTTCTGTACTAGTGTAAGAAGTTTCAATTCATTTGCAATAGCCTAGATACAGTGCTTTCTTAGGATATTTTTAATATCTAGACTTGTCAGCATCAGAAATGTGATTATGACATGTTTAGTTTAACACTTCCTTCTAATTTCTGCTTGGGTAAACAATTCACTTGAATGAAGTTAATAAATAATGCAGTTGTTTGACATTCAATTAGCCATATAATTTTTTTCATTTTGTTTTTCTTACTTCTCACCTGTTATTTGAAGTGTGTGTCATCATTGACTCTCATTATTTATTCCCACATGCAGTGTAGTCACAATACCATGATTTACTTGATTTCTAAAGTTCTCCCATTGCAAAATAATATAAATCATTTTTTTTAAAATAAAGGATCTAATTGTGTACAACTGCAAAAAGGACTTATGTTGTTACTTTTAATTCTATAGATGAATTTTCAATTTTAGCGAATTTATTATCCCTTTCTTAGAATTGTTTTGATTAAATATTAAATTGAGACATAAAAAGCTTATAAAATATGTAGAAGGCATAGAAAATAGATGCAAATTAGGAGATAGAATGTAGCTATTAGCCTTGAAGTCTCCTGCAAATACCTTCCATTTTGCTTCCCTATATTCAATAGACAAGCCTACATCAAACTTTGTATTTATTAACTTTCTCTACTTGATAATTATAACACGAATCTTTCATTTCTCCAATATATTTGCTTATGTTGATTTTGAACTTTACATTAATGGAGTCATAGTATATATGTTCCTTTACAATTGGCTTTTCTTTCCTCAATAATATTTTCCTAAGAGCTATCTGTTCTGTGGCATTCCCCCATGCAGAGGCAATTCTAGCAGACAATAGCCACTGAGTTCGATTGTGACAATAAGTTTACTAAATGGATATACCACAACTTATGTATCCATTCTGTGGTGATGGTCATTTAACTTGTTTTCCATTTTTCTTTTGAGTTCTTTTGGTTTTGCTATCACAACCAATACTGTTATGAACATTGCTCTATATGATATGACATATACAGGCTGTACGTTCCATCTGTATCTCTTACTGTAGTAGTTCTATTCGTTATTTCTCTGTTGTTTCTATTATTTCTCTCTCTTCATTATCTCTCTATTCATTATTTCTCCAACCGAGTAGTGGAAGGAAAGTACCTAAATCATAGGGGTGCTAGAGGGAATGAGATAATAAAAAAGCATTTAATAGGTTATTGAATGCTGTGTAAGTATGAATGATCCTGATGTTTTCTGAACCACATGTACAAGAGGATATATATCTTAGAGTGGGATTTCTGGGTTATAATATATAATGCACCTTAAATTACACCATGGTCAATTGTGAGTAGTCTTCTATTCTCTACTGTCCCTTCTTCCATAGTGATGCCATTTTAGATGGGAACATGATGGTCTACCTGAAGGCTGAATTTCATGGACTCTTTGCGACTATGTAAGAGCTATGTCATTAAGTTCTTGCCTGTGGAATGTCACAAGAAATGGATTCCCTCCTTCTTCTTGTCCTTGAAAAGATTCATAAACGCTCTTTTTGTACCTTTCCCTTTTTCATTTGTGAAGGAATATTAAAATTAGAGCAAATGCCTTGGAGCTGGAGATGAAAGCCACACATTGAAGGTGTCAGAACTACTTTACTAGTTCTGTTCTAATACCTGAGAGAAATACACTTTTCTCTTTTCTCAGGCACTAATTTGGGGGCATCTTTTTTTTTTTCCAGAAGCTATGCCTGTAGCCTAATGAATCAATATGAAGTTGACAAAAGGAGAAAATAATCAAGGTTTTTTTTCAGATGTCTACTTAGGGTTTGTTGGCAGTCAGGAGCAACATTATAGCTGTGTGGGGTAGTGGGGAAGGAAATCCTTCTAAGCCATAAGTAAATTTTGATTAGAAGGAGAGATAATCAGAGGTAAAACTTTGAACCAATTAATGACCACTAGTTAACAATTTGGTCAAATTTTCCTACAAATAAAGGAAAGGTATTAGAGAATTGGAGGTGGTTGGAGGTGAGAAGTATACGCTTGGATCTCTTGGAATTCACTCAAATTGTGACAATAGCTGTGACCCACAAAATGTTCACCAAAGAGCTTTCACCGCAGAAGATGGTGTCAGTGATCTGGTGGACAAAGTCACTGATTATGCAACTATCAGGCAACTTGTGCCAATCACCCTAGTGCATGCACAATAGTCCCTTAGGCTAAGTGGCTATGGCATCAGGATGCAGGTGATATATGAATTAAGCAACTTGGGTTTTCCTTCTTTGATGCTGATCTGGCTACTGCTATTGCAAAGACTTCCAAATCAACAAAGACAAGATAGCCCCCATTATAGCATTAGATCTGGGGAGGACCAGCCAAATGCTTGCTGGTGAAAGATTGATTTCACTGTTCCCTTTTTGTAAGGGAGGAGGCAATGATATATCCCCCTCGGAATAGACACTAACTGTAGCTATGGACTTTTTTCCCTGTCCTACTTCTGACAGAATCACCATGGTTCAACTTCCTGAATTCTGTATTTACTGAAACAGATTCACTCAAAAGGTTCCTTTCACAGTAGAACTATCTTATAAAGAAAGTGGTGAGGCAGTGGGATTCGGTGTTCTTGTGCCCTGCCACCCGTAGTAGCTGAACTGATACAAAAGTGGGAGTCCTTCTAAAACCTCATTTATAGTGCCAGGTGAGAATGATCACATTTTCTTATAAGCGTATACTGAGTTTTATCAAATACTTTGAATTTCATCTAATTTTATCTATCTTTTTTCGGTATCTATTGAGAAGGTCATATAATTTTTTTTTCTTTCATCTTTTAATGAAGTGCATTACTACTATTGATTTTTCTCAAGTGAAACCAACTTTTTTCCTGTCTGAACCCAACTTCATTATACATTACTTCATTATTTTATGTATTCATTATATTATCTTCATTATACGTTACTCATTTCAATTTGCTAAGTATTTCCTTTTGAATTAGGGGGATTTGAGGGGAATAGGACCAGAAGGTACAATCTCCAAATGCTTCAGGCAAAACACACCAAAATGAAAGATGAATTGGAGAGACACAAAAGAGGTAGGAACTTAAATATTGGTGAGAAGTTGGAGGTGGGAGATAAGTAACAGTGAAGACTAAGTGTAGGATGACTTAGGTAATTGGGTAAATGTTGTCAGCAGCAACAAGCTCAAGAGGAATAAATTTTGGTGGAGAGAAAATGAATTCTGTTATGCACACACTGATTTGGTGTATCTGTAGGATATCCAGATAGAGAATTCAATTAAACAAATGGATAAACTGGTGGGGATAAGAGAGAGGTTGTGGCTGATAGGTAGATGTGGGAACCAATAGACTATATATGGAAATAAAAACTCTGATAATGGATAAGGTAATAAGAGAGAATAGGGGTTGGGGCTTCTGGGTGCCTCAGTTGGTTAAGCATCTGACTTTGGCTCAGGTCATGATCTCATGGTTTGTAAGTCCTATGTCAGGCTCTCTTTCAAAAAATAAAATAAAATAAAATAAAATAAAATAAAATAAAATAAAATAAAAT